GGGAGGGTGAGCGCAGTGGGTGGCGGATGGGTCTGAATTACCTGGGCGTGCAGCGAAGCGGGGTAGGTGAAAGCAGGAGGAGGTAGAGCAGGTGCTAACTCCGCTGGGTACAGAGGGTACGGCCCCCACACTTCAGGGCTACTGGGGTAAAGTGCAGGCACTGTGAGCTCATCTGCAAGAGAAGAAGAAGGAGAGTTAATGGCCCCCGCCACGGCCGGCGGCACCGCCGGTCCTTCCTTCCTTTTCCCCCCCCCGAAACAGAGCGGAGCCTCCCCCAGAGAAGCACGCCGTGCCGGTGTCGCCGACCTGCAAAGCCAACGCTGAAATTTCCTGCTTGGAGAACGTGGTGCTGAGTGACGCCGTGGGGCCAGCTTCATCACCCCCGAGAGGTTTAATTGCCCTGCGTTGTGCGGGGGGGCACAGGGGAGAGCGTGGGGCTCGTGGCCGCGCGCAGCAGCCAAGGCGAGGGACAGGCCTCCGCCAGGGAAATGCTGGGGATTCCAGTCGCAGAAAGGGGTGAGACATGGCCAAGGTCTCCCCCCACCAGTCCCGTGTGCCCCACTGAGCTGTCTGTCACCTGCCCCTGCCTCCTCCCCGGCTGCCTTTGGGGACTGCTGGCCACCAGCCGGGCACGTGCCACCATGGCAGTAGCCAAGCGGGCGCTGCTGCTTCCAGTTGGACCTGGCGTTCCCCATCGCCCCCCGCATCCCGCACGGGGGTCCTGGCGTCACTACATCCACACGGGATCTCTGCACAACATCGCATTGCCCCAATACAACCTTTTTCCCCAGGGAAATGAGGAGGGGGCCAACCCCCGGCGCCTGCCACCCCAAAAACCTGCCAGCACTGCCGTGGTGGCGGGTCAGGGGGGACCGCGTGGGTCTCCCTCGGGAGAGCCAGGGCCGGTACTTACAGGGCTCTCGGGCGATGAACTGAGGTACGGCGGTGGGGAGGGGCGTGCTGGGGTTGGGGGTGCCCACCAGCTTGCTCTTGGCCATCTTGGTGTTGGCCTTGGCAAACTCCAGCCGCAGCGTCTGGGGGATCTCGGGGTCGAAGCGGATGCCCTGCGGGAGGGAAGGAGGCACGGCGGGTGGGCGAGCCGCGCCGCGTGCCAGCCCCGCAGCAAAAATAACTCCCAATTAGTTATTTTTTAGCTTTTTTTTTTTTTTTTTTTTTTTTTTCAGCTTCCAGCCTTGAAATGAGCTAATTTGCCGGGCCCCGAGGCGGCTCGCATTCCTCCGGCATCTTTAGCATCAGCACCATATTTGGCAGTCGGCATCCCGCGTGGCCCAGCTCTTATCCAGAGGGATTAGCGGAGCCAGGAAAAAAAAGTTTTACATTTAAAATGAAGACAAGAAAAAAAAAAAAACAAACAAAAAAAAACAAAACCCAACCAAACAAAACCCAACCAAAACCCGGGGAGGAATTGGAGAACTGGCTCCACGTGGTTCTCCCCGTGACTGTTTTCAGGAGGTTCGCTCCGCAGAGGTAGGAGGGAGCTGCTAAAGGAGAATGAAATTTGCTGTTTCTTTTGCAGCTTTAGCTGGGGTTTTGCTGCAGAAGAAACGGGAGAGGCTGGGAAAGGCCTCTCTCATCAACTCCTATCTAAGGCTCTAATCCTGAGGGTTCAAGCCCTCCCGCATGGCCCGGGAAAGGCGAGAGGGATGCAGCCCCCCAGGAGGGAGGATGCAGATGGGGATCAGCTGGAGGGATGGGGACACAGTGGTGGGGCCAGTGCCTCCCCGGGATGGAGGAATTGAGAGAATATCTGGGGACAGGGAAACAAAGTGGGGGAATAAATCCCGAAAAAAAGGAGCAGCCGGGCGCACTCACGTTCAGGGCGTTCTTGGCTGCCTCTGCCTCGGAGCGGCTGTCGAAGCTGACAAAGCCCACGGGCTGTGGAGGAAGGAGAGGAGACACCATCAGACAGGCTGGCAGGGAGCAAAGAGGAACCCGTCCCCGCTTTGGGGACCGGCAGTGACAGGGGAGGGTGGGAGCGTGGCATGGGACACTTGCCCCGTTTTGAGCAGCTCCTACCTGCTTGGAGGTGAGTTTGATGAGGGACCCCTCGTACCCCTGCAAGAAGAGAAGGGGGAAAAAAGGGTGTTTGGTGGAGATCCCTGCAATTCAGCTGCCCCTGGGAGAGGGAGAGCAGCCACATCCATCACCCGGCAGCCCCACAGCTGGGGGGGCACTGGGGGAGGGGTTGGCTCGCCAAGGCTCAGCACCAGCACGAGGACACATCGCCACTGGGTTTTTGTAGGGATGCTGGATGCCTGGGAATATTATCCTTAGTGTTTGAAAAGAGCCGGTGTCTGAGCTGCAGGTCTCGTAGGGTGAAGGGACCAGAGAGGTTTACAGCCAACGCTCTTCTGCTGCTAAATGGGGCACAACTCAATGTGCAATTAAAACCCCAGGGCAATCAAAGCGCCTGATGCTATTTTCCTATGGTTTATTGGAGTAAAAAGGGGCAGAAATTTGTTTCCGCTAATAAAATGACCAAGTTAAACTTTTTTAGGGGAAACTAGCAGGCTCCTAGATCCCACCAAGGTTGGTGGGGCCACTGGAATGGGGCAGGGGGCCAGGCCCACTCTCCCCTCCCCAGTCTGGTACCTTAAAGGGCCTGAAGAGCAGGTAAAGTTCCCGGGGCTTGATGTCCAGAGGCAACCCGCTGACAAAGAGTGTCCTCACCTGGAAAAGAAGAAAGGAGGTTCCTGGGGACCTTCCCTCATCCCAGACTGGGGGATACCCCGCGCCTTAGGTGGTGGCACACCAGTGGGACAATGCCAGCCCGAGGGAAACCTCATGAGCAGCCAAAAGCTTTAAGCCACACTTGGGGGATGCAGCATTTTGGGAAGGGGAGTCCCCATCCTTCAGGGGACTGTGGAGCAAGCTGTGAAGACACTGTGGGAAGGTAACTGAGACCCGTCCTTACCACACTGAGTGCTCTCCAGGTCGAAAAGGCTGCCAGCATCCCAGTGCCTTCCTACCCTGGTCTGGCAAAAAGGATCAATCCTGGCATCCCCAGCAGAGCCCTTGCTCTGCAGACAATGCCTATTGTCTCTATTTGATTGCAGCAGCTCATTGACGATCAGGAGAATCAAACTTCAACTCTTTCTCCTGGAGAATGGCCCTGGTTTGGATGGGGCTGGTTTTAAGCAGCCTGTCCCCGATTTGCAAAAGTCACCTTTTAAGGGGTTTTTACGCTTTTTGGGTGGATGTAATGTTTGCCGTGGGCAGCACCCTCAAAGCCAGGGCATCTCACAGAAACCCTGCTTCCACTGACCCCACGGGGGGATGTGGGGATCCCCAGGGATGGGCAAACCCCACCTGGGCAAGACCTGTGCCAGGATGGTTTTACTTCACAATCAGCTTGTAACTGGGGGAGCGTTGTGGGGCAGGAGACCAACAGCTGGACCTGCTGCCAGTCCCCCTCGCTTCATCCCCCAAATCTCATCCAAACCCTTTGGTGACTGATGGCTGTGGGCCTGCAGGAGCCTGGGGCTGACGATGGCCTCAACCGACCCCACCTGGACCCCCCCACCCACACACCCTGCCCACTGTCCCGGGGCTGTATTTAGGCTCAGAACCTGCTGGGTCTCAGCCCTGCTGCGTCCCTGTGGCTGGGTTGGACCCTGGCTGCTATCACCCACCTGCTCTGCTCTTGCTGGGGCACCTGGGGATGGGGCCCATCGAGGTGGGATCCCTGCCTTGCTGTCCCCCTCAGCTCTGGGCTTGCTTGTGAGCCAGCCCCGCTCCTGCTGCTCCTGTAGCACCGTAACGGGAAGTAATCTGGAGGATTTGATGGCTGTAGCTTATTTTTTCAGGCACCCAAATGCCTTGTAAGAGGTGCTCCGGAGGGGTTAGACCAAGGTCACCCACCCTGGGTGCCAAGCTGCCAGATTTGGGCTGGAGGAGGGGAAAATCTTGATTACTTTATTATTATTATTTTATTTTTTGGCCAGCCACCCTGCCCGCTCCAGAGACATGCGAAAGAGCCAGAAACAGCCTGCCCGGGCCTATTCTTCTGCTGACATTTCTTCTTTCTCTTGCAGATAAGCTATCTACCCCATCTCCAAGCCTGGGAGCAGCAAACATTCCTGCTTTGTGTAACAAAACCTCTGGCTGACCCATATCTATTAAATAACAAAAGGTACTGGGGGGCGTTTGCATATAGCCCTTGTGTCAACAGCCTGGGTGATACCCATGGCTGCTGGTACCCATGGCTGGATGCTCAGGGGCTGCCAGAAAACAAGCCAGCAATGAAAGTACGGCCATCCCACGCTTGAAGGGAATGGAAAAGCCAGCAAAAGATGCTCATGGTCTTTCCCAGAGGGATGCTGAGAGCTCCAGGCTGGATGGGATCTGCCCAGCCGTGTCCTCACCCCTTCCTGAGCCAGGGCTGCAGGTAGGCACAACCCAGTAGCCTGTCCCCCCTACTGGGACAATCCAGGGGTGGGCTGGAAGCCCTCTCCAAGGCACCTTGGTGGACTCCCACCAGCTTTCTGCCTGTCTTCTGAGACAGAGGGTGATGGGGCATCCCAAGGCATTCAGTGCTGCACCTGAAGGGCACTGCCAGAATTTCTCCCAGTGGGGGCTGGGGAGGGATTCATCTGGAGGAGCTCCCCTCGTGTCTGTGAAACTCAACGCAAAGAAGGCAAATTTATCCTTTCCTAGGAAAAAAAAATATTCCCCCTCAGCCAGCTCCACCTAAAAGCAGCTGCTATCTGGGAGACATCCACCCGCCCAGCTGGGTTTGCCTCCAGAGGAGGCTGAGCATCCCTGCGTGGTTCCCCCTGTCTCCATCATCTCTTGAGCCTATGGTCCTCACTGGCACGCTGGCTTCCCACCTCTCCTCTGCCCGGGGAGCTGTGTGAAACACCAGAGGCGGCTCCAGGGGAGAACCCGCCGCCAATTTGCCGCCTCCCTGAAATCCAAACCCCTATGAACCTGGACCGACAGACCGTTTAGCCCCATAGCTGCGTGGCAGAGAGATGGGAGAGATAAAAGACCCTGAAAAACGCTTGAAATTCGGCCTCCTCGCAAAGGAAGGCCTTCTCTTCGGTAATGACTTGTTTTCTTTGAAAGTTCAAACGCGGGTCGGCCAAGTTTTAAACCGTAAAATCATACAGCGGCGAGCGGGAGCGGGAGAAGGGCTCCAAAGGATCCCCCAGCTGGTTTCCAGCCTCAAAAGGATGTCTGGGGGCTGGGGAGGGAGGGGGATACGAAGTGATGGGTGCTCCCCATCTGCACCCCTCAAAATGGTGCTGGGACACTGGCGCAGCCAGCCAAAGGGATGTTTGAGTAGGTCCTACATAAACAGCATCTTTTTGCTGGGCTGGGTAAGAAGCAGGTGGGAGGGTTTGGGCTGTGTTAAAACGAGGTGGGACTGGCAGCGAAAGGGAGCGTCCTCAGAGATAGTTCCCAGCAGGCTGGACGGATATCCTGCTGCCAAGGGAAAGATTTTAGGCGGAAATATTACTCCTGCCCTTAAATGGAAGAGGAGCTTCAGCCCGCAGGGAGCTGCTCCAGGCTTTCCTGTGCCGGGAGATCCCAGGGGCTCAGCCTCCATCCTCTACCAGGAATGCTCCCAGGGCCAAAGCCTGCCCCCAAGGCAGGGGGGGGGGGGGAAAAAAGATTTATGAAAAATACACAGCACAGGGGGACAGCGAGGTGGACCACTACTACAAGAAAATGCAAGCCAGCCGGAGGTTTAAGGACTGAGCCCCCGTTGCCTTCCCTGCGCCCGACCCCCCCCCCCCACCCCCCCCGCGGGGGGGGGGGGGGGGGGAAAGCCTTTTTAGAGAAATTGTCAGCCGGCAAGCAGGTATATGCTCTTCCACAGGGAAAGATGACCCCTTCTCGGAGGTGGATCAGGCAAGACACGTGCTCCCGAGAGTCTTGTGGGATGGGGCCAGACCTACAGCTCCCAAGCAAGGATTAGTGGAGGGCGCTGGAGCATGGTGGTGGGATTCCTGCAGCCCCGACACCTCCCGTCCAGGACAGCCCGAGCTGTTTTGTTTCAGTTCTGCTGCACAGGCATTTTTCAGAGTTTCTTCTTGGTGGAGCATTTCTCCATCTCTCCTTCTTGTTACAATGTAGGGTGAAAATAAAGGTTTTTTCCAGGTCAGAAGTGCTGATGTTTGCTCCGGGAAGTCACCGTGGGTGCAGGACCTCACAGGTGACCACCACCTTGATTTCCTTCAGTGGGGATGACAGCTATGGGCCTGCACACAAAGTCCCTTTTCCACAGTCCTCCTGCTGCTGCAGCCCACAGCTCCCAGAATTGCCAGGGCCGCTGGATCTCACCTCCGCCACCTCACTCCTGGTTTATCCCCTCCTGGCTTTTATTGTCCCTGCAGAAAGCCTTCTCCTAGCCTCTGCTGCTCTTCTCTCCCTTGGAAGCCATCTCCATCCCACTTCTGGCCTGTCGCTCTCACCTCTGCTCCTCTGCGTCCCACCATCACCTTCTGCTGTCCCTGAAATACCATGTCTCATCTGGGGCCAGTTTAAGGGAGGCTGGAAAGGGTCTGGGGGAGGGTGGTGGTGGTGAGGGGATTGCTGGGATGGTCAGGGCTGGGGGCACGCAAGGAGAGGGGTGGGACCTGGGCCAAGAGGTGGCTGGGGGTCTCCAAACTGTGGCTCAAGGATGGTGCCAGCGCGGAGAGGTCAACAGCAGAGCGCCAGCAGCCTTCCTCCTCCTCTTCCTCACATGAAGCCACAAGCCAGGTTTGTCTCCTGAAGGTAAGCAGGCACCGGGGAGGTGCTCTCCTGCTTTGGGACCCCCCCGAGGGCTGATGGC